TATCTGAGTTACTTTTTCAAATAAGAAATGCCAGTTACTTTGTTTTCCCATTTGTTGACTGGCAGCTCTCCTGTCCTCATGTTGAGAGAAATCAGGAGTGAGTTCAGAGGCGTTGTGTGCACTGTGAGAACATGATGTTAGTTCTAGACTAAATGTGAACATGCATTTATCTCACTTGCACAAAAACAGACTCACTATTTCTCAAAACAAATAAAAACTGTGAAATGCAAACTCAGAATATGACACAAACCTGCAATAATTAAATATGGTAAATAACACAAACAACCTTTATGTATTTAATCCCATTTTATTAACCTTTGATGATCCAGTTCAACCATACCAATAAGCAAAAATGACTTTAGATAAACATGACATCTGTGTTTCTTTTTTTTCATGTTATATATATATATATACACTGAACAAAATTATAAACGCAACACTTTTGTTTTTGCCCCCATTTTTCATGAGCTGAACTCAAAGATCTAAGACTTTTTCTATGTACACAAATTTGTTTGAGCTGCGCCCTCTAATGTACAGACGTGAATTTACATTTCCTGCAGCCTGAGACTTATTCATTTCACTTTGGGTGTGAAAGAGCTTTTACATTTGCCAAAAATAAAAATGTTTTATATTAAAAACAAACCAGTAAGCCCAGTCCAGATGTGAAAAAGTAAAGCAAAAGTAACATAACATAACAAAAGGTCACTAAGTAACGCAACTAGTTATTTTTTAGGGAGTAACGCAATATTGTAATGCATTACTTTTAAAAGTAACTTTCCCCAACTTTGCATTTTAGAATAAGGTTTCATTTGTAACATAAACGTTAACAGTTTATTGTTATTAATGTTAGTCAATAAAAATAAAATAGTTTATTCATTAATTGTTAGTTCACAGTGCATTAAATGATGTGCAAAAATGCATTAAAAGAATGAATTAATGAATGATGAATGAATAATAATCAGCAATGAACAATAGTATATTTACAAATTAATAAATGCTGTAATAAAAGTTGTTTATTGTTAAAATGGTCCCCTCGGTAGAAATCGCATTCCGTGAGGGCCCACCTGGACCGCGGGACCCCACGCAATTGCATGGTGCCTAAACACGCTGCTGTTAACTGTTAATGAACAAATTTAGCCTTATTTTAAAGTGTTCCTGAAAATACATATTTTAATAAACTTTAAACTCAAAAGATATAATTTTTAAATGCATAACAACATCACTGACCAGAAACATACAACATAATTTTAAAATGTACGTCTCATTTTAATATAAACAATTATGGTGAATGTATTCTGAATGTGCATTCTATAGCTGCATTTTATCAACTAATATGCATGAAATTAATGATAATGTGGCATAGCAGAGTGAAATTAACCCTGCTTGCAAAAAAAAAAAGAAAGAAAGAAAAACAACATACACTCTATATTTTAGTACATGTTAGATATATTGAAATGATTGATGTTGTGACATTGTGTTTGTTCAGTTGTTGACATATTGAACCTAAAAACGAACCTAACTCTGTCAACATATTGAATCTCTATTCAATACTCAAGTATGCAATAATTCACATAAACCAAACATTTGAAAAGCAATTGCTTTCCCATACTACTTTGAAAATGTGGGTGGGACAATTAAGCAGGCTAAGATGATAAAATATGTAAGGTGTTTACCTTAAAAATAATGTTACATCGGGGAAGTAATGTCAAAGATTGATTGCTAAGTGAATGCTTTACAGCTGCCATTATACTAACAGTGGACAGCAATACTGATGAAGGCAACTTAATCCTCTTGGGAGCAATTTTCAGTCTATGAACGTAATATGAGATGATTATCCTCAGTGTACGCAAGGAATGACCCATATGGCCCTTTTGATGTGCTTTTAACAAACATAGTTTCATGCATGACAGATTCAAATGTATAAATTAATTTACATTCAGATAAATATAGACATCTTTATTAATGTTTCTAATAAAAGTTAATATACACTCTGCTGCTTCTCATTCTCAGATATTTACTGTATAATATAAATGAACTTAAAATAACAATTTGCCAAAACTCACCATAAAAACAAATCCCTTGAATACCAGAATGCTAGCAGAAGCTGCTGTCAAATCTGGATAAATGACTCCACATAACCATTTAGTGTAAAACCATTCTACAATGTGATGACAGCATGAACGTCTGATTCAAGGTCACACTGACACACATCCAGTGAAAAGCTCATTTGTAAGCCGGTGCTGAAGAGATCACTAGCTGGGAAAATGCCTCGTCTTCCCCACATGACTGCACATAGATAGAGCTGATGTGGAATTCCTCTCATGCTGACCTTGTCCATGATGGCTGCATCAATCTAACCACGACTGGCCTTTTAAATAGAGCTAACATGAAACAAGAAGCAATGATTTTAGAGCATAGAACCCAAAGCGCACAGACAGAGAGGCACAGAAAGTTCAAACACATGCAGGACTGAATTCATCTAGATTCTCTCACATTTTGGATGGATCATACTCAAAATTCAGTACAAGGCATGGACAAGTCATGAATCTCAAATGCTCAGCCCTAAAATATCTTCTTCCTGTAGCATCTTGACTCAAGAGAGAAATAATGGATTTTTATTTATTTTTTTCCTGTAACCCATTTTGCTGCATAAAGTAGATATTTACTTTAATTTGAAGATGATGTGAGTGGTGCTTTCATGTGAACAACTCTCCACCACCAAGATTGAGTGTTATCCGTGGTTGTTTCGAGTGTTTTTGGTTTATTCAGTCAGCAGCTATCTCCGATATGTTCATAACTCCGAAACACTGCTGTAAAGACATTGGCATCTGAGGACTGCTCACTATTTTTGATCCCTGTCGTTTTGTTGAACTATGTTGGTAACAACGGAACTTGCAACCATAGTCGGCTCATTGTTTCAGGTCCCTCCTCCTGTAAATCTATGGACTTCTTTCTTATTTTACTGTCCATAAATCCTGAGATTAGAATTGCAAAAGCACACCGCTTGATTTGAGGCATCATTCACGTTCACATTGCAAATGGTGCAGGAAAAATTACATGCATGTACAGTATATGACCTATAATTTACAAAACCACTGGACAAAAATACATATACATGTTAATGAACAACACAATACAATGCCTCTTTTCAAGAAATATCTGATTCACCTTTTTCCTAAGAGAGAAAGAGTACTATAACCCTACTATTACCACAAAAATACCTCGAAATGTAATGAAACCTGGGTTGCCAGATTTTGAGATTTCACACTGAACATAGACTGAACACAGCATGAACGTTTCAGAGATTGTACAAAACACATGAATATTTAATGAGGTAAGCACTGAGGCAGTTTATGATTGATTGTCTGTTGCAAAACAACTCAACATAACATTCTAACACAGTATTGTTTCCCACTGCATATATTTTGCACAGCAATATCAGTGTTAAGCCTGCTCTCAACCAGGGTTTCATATCCAAGGGTTAAAAAAAGCCCCTTTTAAGCCGGAGGCCTAGAGTGAGGAACGGCCGGCAGTCTTGAGAACGGTGCGGCCGGCGGATTCGACGAAGGAGCGGCCGGCAGGAAAAATTTAAATCGCATCATATGACCCCTTTAAAATTAATCTACAGTGTGAAATTCTGCATAACTCGTTGTTAAGACTGAGGTTTATACAGAACTTACAGGAGAAGCATTTGTGTGTGCTCGCAAAAGCTTTATTTTAAGATAACTCATTTTAGACGAGTTTTGAGTGGAACTGCATAGATCCTTTGGCAATTCCAGAATTTAGTGAACACAAATATATTCAAGATGATGGATGAGGCAAAGCAAATGTTAATACGTGATAAACTTTCATTTAATATTAAATTGTATAATAACAACTTGCTAACATCTAACTAGAAACTAATTAGTCATGTGGAGCATTATTTATGTGCCTCTGTAAAGCATTTCAAATCGGTAAATTATGAAATTTTGCTTTACACTTAGGCTTGAATACAGAGCAAGTCATTTTTGGACATTTTGGTCTGACAAATTAATAAACATATTGTAAATGTCAAATTTGAGGCAGATGCCCTCTAAGGCTCAGACAAGTTTTTTAG